GTTCAAGTTTCTTCTCGCCCTCGGACACCTAACGTTATTAGTATTATGCCCGTGAGTATTCTGGTTTTTCGAGAGTCGGACGATCTGATACTAGTAATACTGTCGGCTTCCTTAATCATGGCTTTTCAGCTCAGATGATCCCAAAATACTGGTAAGGTTGTCAGCTTCCTTCAGCATATTCAAGTTATATGAGCCTTTGTGTTTCGCCTTGAGACTCGGCATACCATGCTAAACTAAGTAATGCTGGGACTCGGCCTGAGCTGTATGTGTTTTATAGTTACTAAGTATCTTGATAATAGTCTGAGTCTTCGTTTGCTTACCCTGGCATATAGTATATAAGTGACAAGACATTCCAAAACAACGTGTACTGGGCCCATGACTGTTTAGTACTTAATTACGACAAAAGGGTTTGGAGTGATCCATCATTGGGTAGGATGCCATTTCTGCTGAGTGAATGAACATTTCGTCTGAAATTTAATTAAATATCATTACGCTCGGTATAAACCCGTTCAAAAAATCCTTGAATAGGATCAAACTTCAACGTTCTCCTTGGGCACTCTCCAACGCATCTAGAATGAGAAGATAGAGAACGAACAAACATCTCATCAACCTCCTCAATATCTTCATGATTGTATGGTTGCTCTGTCTTCTGCTTAGTTTTGCAGACCCTGAGTCATTTGGAGCTCCCCACTCAGAAGTCTCAATCCCAGCAAGAATGATTGTAGCAAGAGTTAGGCCAGGCCTAGCCCTTCGGAATACTTGAAGACCAGAACGGGAACTTGACGTAAGAGCAGGAGCCTGACGACCTTGATACCAGCTGAATTTGCGGTCACCAACTACAAGGGTCTCCAATTGTTAAAATATGGTGCCTTCGTCCAATAATGGTAGAACAGCAAGTAGCTATAACACGGGGAAAAATTAGTCATAAGGCTAGCGATATGCAAATTGTATGTATCTTGGTTCCACTGAATAGTATGCCACTGATGCTTTGGGTAATGCCAAAGCTCAGACCTGGGACAACCAACGTAGACAGAAAAGGCCAGACTTCCGCTATGCTGGCTGCGTTAGAAATAGTGAAACACGAAAGCGTTAAATCCAGGGTCCTAATTCGCTGTCTGGATTCCGCCTCCAACTTTTGGGCAAGGTGAGAGATCGCCGGGCACTTTAGTTATTCTCGAATTCGGAGAACCTTCAGATCTGGAGTAGAGCCAGATCTAATTAGGAAGTTTATTGGGTCAATATACTCTGTGAGCTTGGCTGCAAAGTTGTTTGCGATTGCCTGCTCCACTGGATCGTCGTCTTTAGGCTTCCTGAGGGGTATGTCAAAGAGAACTCGGAGGTTCTCCGCATGTCATAGGATTCTGAGGCAATTGCAGTCCCAGCGGGTGAACCTACCAAAGTCGCAGACTAGGCCGAAATGTTCTACGCTCTTCTTCATACCTTCCACCCTTTCTTCGGTGGGACTATCCATGAGCTTTAGCGGAAATCGGATTGAGTTGACGGAAAATGGCAGCGTCGTCAGAAAATGGTTAAAATAATCAAATGAAAAATCGCTTTTAGGGGATTTTTCATCGTGCATCACAGGTGGCATTGACAGGGAGATAGGCATGCTCCTGGGAAGTATCCGAAACTTCACGAACCATGGGGAGAGTATCCGATCTTCCGAGTTAAAGAATCCTGGTTGAACCAATAAACCATAGTTAGTTGTGTCGAACTCATCGTACACCCAATGTTCATAGAGCTCCAACGTTTCTAGAGCCGGGAGAGTTCTGGCAAGGTCAATGACTGCTTGATATGTCGAAGTCCACTTGGCGACGAGCGTGGCGGGGAAGGGCTGTTCGATAATATCTAAGGAATAAGCGTGATGAACAGTGGGTGAATGAATGAACGGTAGCTTGTAAGGCTAGGTATGGTAACGTACCTCGAACGCCAGAAGACTTGCGCCAGAACGAAATACAACGCCATATGTCTGTCCATCTTCGTATCTGCACCCGTCGAATATGGATGGCAATCTCAGGATGCTCAGATAAGGAGTCGATACGTCTCTTTCTCCGTGCTAGATGGTAGAGATACATACGTGGTATCCGTGGATCAGCCTTAGAGAGACCTGCGAATTTTTGCTGCTCGAACTGGAGAGGAAGGAATACACGTCGGAGACGGCGACATGATTGCGAAAGCTGAGGAAAATCAGCGGGGTACAGGTACGCCTTGGCTATGTAGCGCCAAATGTCGTCGTTTAACATACCGTGTTTTTTAGTGGGAAAGAGTTGTTGCGTTTATAGGATGTGGTGGTAACTTGAACGCTACGTGGCCAAACTTGCGTCGCCGTCTCGGATCCAGAGTTCTGGTGATTATCAAGTTATTGCACGTTACGTTAGCGGCTCAATCGACGCAGGCCACCTTGGTCATTATCTCATAGTAAGGGGAAGGATAGTACAGTGTGATATTGGTGAGCCTGACTGTTGCTGCCACTGCCAGATTAGGACAAAAGGATTTAGAATGACCCGGCACTGGGTTGGGTGCGCAATTGATCAGCAATGATAACGAAACGAAGACATTTACATAACTCACTATAAAAGCGAGGTACTAAACAAGTGCCTAGTATAAATGTAAATACTCTTTTACTTTTCCCTTTGCAGCTCTCGACCTCCATTCGAAATTTAGGAGAGATGTATGACGAATGGAAGCGAGGGTTAATTCCTTTTACTTAACGTTCGTTTGGAACTTTATGTAAATCAAACTTCACCGTCGTGTCAGTATCAGTATCAGTCCCAGTCAATTTCATAGTCAAAAATATTGTTAAAGCCCACTACAAGATACTGCCTTAATAATTTTTATCTACCCTCGTCGTATCCCTTCGGCCTTCTTACCACTGTGACTTCAAGTTAGCTCCTTTTTCTTGAATTACTCCTTTTCCGCCTCATCACGCATCACGCACCACTATGCTTATTATAATATCCCCAGAGGTTCTTGCACGCCGATGATTATACACCTTCGCCGATCCAAGGCTCCAGCGTTTGCGCTTGGAATTATAATCCGTTATTTAGGTAAATTCGGACTCGGAGCGGAGGTGTTTGTGGGCTGCCTTCCTCCGAGGATTTATCATCCTTTGGGTTTTAATATTCGTCGGAATGCCTGAAATAACGGCGACGCTGAGATTAAACAAAAATACCTGCTCGTGTCTTCGGCGGTGGATCGTGGCATTGTGGGCATGCTCTTCTTCCGTTCCCTGCCGAATTGCTGTGAGCTGACTGGACGTCTAGCTGAGAATGAGAATGATAAATTATATCCAGGCCACGGTCAATGGGCGTCCACCCTCACCTCATCATGATGCTCTAAATATACTCGCATTAGTATAGTATTACTTTCTTCTTGATGATAAGTAACGGGAACGCACAAAGAATGTCACGGCCCAGCGGGTCTACATGCTTCGAGGAGAATGTTGAAATGTTTTGCGAGGACTGGAGGAAGCTACATATATGAGTAGCTAGCGAAGTGACTATCTAGTCCGAGTCGAATAGCCGTGAACGTCTAGATCCTAGCCGGGAATGATCAACAAACCCTGCTGAGCGTCCTCACCGCCATCATCCTCTAGATACTCTCATTAGTATTAATAATATCGGTATTCTTAACTCGCCGTAACTGAAGACTTACGATTCAGAAGGAAATCAATGCCAAAAAGGTGAGGAGTCTGAGGGACGCAATATATGCTTCGAGTCGAAAGTTAAACGGCCCGAGGAAAGTTGAGGCGACAGGTCTGGGTCGAAAGCTGAAGTCATTGGCAGATCCTCTCATTAGTATTCTTGACTCGCTATCAATGGAATGGGCACTCACGAAGGATATCAATCAGGAAGGATATATGCTATATATGCTTCAAGAACCATCCTAAATAAATAAGTCAATAAGATCCAAGAGCTCTTTAATAACCTTCTCTCACCGTCCACCTCGCTTGTCATAACGACAGGCACCCCCATCATCCCTCACGCTCTGTCAAAGAAAGAAATCAAAGAGAAAAATATCCATAGTTATGTACGCGTGTGCATATATTTATCCCTTCTATTTCCTCATCCCCTTCCATTTTCCTCACCCCTTTCTATTTTTCCTCTCCCTCCAATTCCCGTCTATTTCCAGTGTCCCCCTCCTCCTCCCCCTTCTATTTCCAGTGTCCCCTTCCTCCTCCCCCTTCTACTCCAGTGTCCCCCCTCCCCTAGCCTCCCTCCAATTTCTTTCCAAATTATTCCGACCCACGCCGACTCATGATGCATGATGCTTGAAGTCCGTCATCGGATAAATAGAACCACCGTCAAAGCGAACAAAGGCGCAGGGTCACCCAGGGTCGCACCAACCCAGCCCGAGTCTGAATAATCAAAAAGATCGTACCTCACTCAATAAGTATAATGCATGGCGATCCCATTGGACGTGGGGGCTGGATCGACGCGTAACTAAATAACTAGCACGCTATGTAGTACAGATTCGCGAGGTTAAATACTACGGGGATTGATGATCGACAGTCATAATATTTTATATACGGGGGGATGTGATTGGGTGGGTTGGCGGGCGGGTGGTTTACGGGAGAGAGCTGATTGGGTGTGGATGTGGATGAGCTAAGTGTGGGCGATTGGGTCATTTCGTGTCAAGGAACGTGCCAACCAGGGAGAAGCGGACCGGCCACATCATGGGAAGGACGCCGAAGGTGTCATGTTGGCTTTGGGTGCTTTGCGTGGTAAATGAGTGAGCAATTGCATCCGGAGTAAGTAATTGCATTCCCGTTGAGTTCTTTGAGGTGGATATTGCAGCCTTTCTGCTATAATTAGGAAATATGAAGGTAGCAACGAGCATCTTCCTTTCGACAGAAAAGGAATTCGAAGATTCACAGCGCAGGATGCAGGACCGCAGCAGTTGAGTGAGCCGTACAACTATATCTAGCCCAGGTGCCAATGAGGTGATCCCTCATCTAGAAGGCGGTGTACTGCCGACGTGTACAAACCCTTGATAATAACGGTTCGGTAGTTCAGTTGGTGGAACGTCTGCTTAACAGTAAAATTTAAAAGAACTCTGCGTCCTGCGTCGCAGAAGGTCATCGGTTCAAGTCCGGCCCGGATCGCTGTTTTATCCATGCGTCGTTCGATATAACAATACAATGAGCAGGAAAGTCTAGAATGTCAAGTGGAAGTGGACGCAACATATGATCGGGTGGTGTCAAGTATAGCTTGGCTGGTTATACTTATGCATATACCCCGGCTGCCTCAAATGCAAAGTTAAAGATAACTTTATTTTGCGTGGGAGATCCAGTGTCATTCTCATGTATACCTGAGAGCTCAGTTTCTGGGTGACACGACATCCCATTCCTGTCTCTCAACACTGTTGAAGTTTTTGTTCGTCTAGGATGCAGCGCGTATGGTCAGCGTATCTCGGTAACACCTCGAACCAGCGCCTGGTACCACTAGTAAGTCGATCATTCTCAATGATTTCATTCATCCGCCACGGCATTCCAGCTCCGCTCGCTTGCCCAGGCCTCTCCCTCGCTCCCCATTTGACATACCTTATTTACGCTCCTTACTAACGTCCTTCACTGTTCACAGCAGTCAATGGACGATAGGTCGTCCAGGTGCGTCCTTAACACACCAATATATTCCTCATCGTGTCTCACTAATTATCTTTGCTGCCAGCCATTCCTATCGTCCTAACCACTCCACGTCCAGGCCCATCCTCAACGACGCCTCGCCAATGTCCTCCTACAACCCACGGCACCTCGATGCTCCCCTCCCCCCGTTCGCAACCGCAAAAGGCGCCTCCTCCGCCTCCTCACTCAAAGACGACAATGTCTCTCTCACAGTCAACTACCTCCCCTCCAAGTTCTCGCGGGCCCACAGCCCCGGCGTGCACAACCGGAAAGGCAAAGGCAGCGGCCTCGACGAGATGGAGCCGAAGCGTGGGGGTGGGCGCGAGGCGTTCAGAGCGGGGGAGGCGAGGATGGCTATTCCGGGGGACGAGGACTACGACGGCGTTATGCCATCTGATGGGAAGCGCAAGCCGCGCATGCGGTGGAATCGGTTCAAGTGGATCTTGTTCGTCTCTAATTTGATAGTGAGTGTCGTTCCTGTCCTAGGCGGGTGGGCGATCCTTTCCGCAGCCGTTCCTGACCCGCTTTTGCGCTCCGCAGCTGACGCTATACTCGCTCATCGGCCTCATCTTCTGCCTCTTGACGTGGTTCAACGTATGGAACAAATCCGACGTCGTTCGCGTCGGAAACAGGTCCGAGCTAATCCGTGCGTCATCCCGCCTGTTCCACCACGCATTAGCTAAGCTAACCCGTACTCCGCTCCTAGTCTCCACCGTCGCCGCGTCCGTCGCCGTCTTCACCTCCCTCGTAGGCTGGTCCGGCCTCCTCCTTAACAACCGCACCTTCCTCTCCATCTACAACCTCCTCCTCTGGGTCTCCTTCGCCTTATTGGTCGTCCCCGGCTACGTCTCCTACAAACGCCGCGCCTTCTCCCTCGAGTCCAAGATCAACGCCCAATGGTCCCGTACCCTCGGGACGGAAGGCCGCCTCCGCATCCAGAACGCCTTACAGTGCTGTGGGTACTTCTCGCCGTTCGTGGAGGCGACGGTCTCGCAGATGTGTTATTCCCGGAGTGGATTGAACGGGTGTAAGGGCCCGTATTTGGCGTTTGAGAAGAAGGCTCTTGAGAGGTGGTATGTCGTGGTGTTTTCGCTGGTCCCGCTGCAGCTCCTTATTATCACCGCGGGGCTCCTCTGCTCGAACCATGTTACGTATCGCTTTGGGAAGGGCATGATGCCGAAGGCGTATCGACTTTCGCTCAATTCGATGGCGGTTATTATGGAGAGTTATGCACAGTGCGTTCTTATTCCTTTACTTCACTAATAACGGGAATGCTAATAGTGGTTCTCTCACAGACAACTAGCAGAACAATTCGGGCCAGACGTCGCGACGGAGGCTCTCGCCCGCTCACGTATCAACCTAGGCGGGTTCACCGCCGGCTCCTCGCCCTCAGGGTCTAACATCGCCCTCGATACTATACCTGTACGTGTCCGTTTCTTCTTCCCTTCTTAATTCCCTTCATTGCGCCTTCCCTTCATTATGCCATCCCGTTACGCTTTCTTCTCATTTCCTCCCCGCCTTCCCGATCTTCCTTCATGAGATGAGATGAGATGAGATGAGGAGGACCCGTATCCATATCATATCATTCGTCATCCCCACCCGATCCGATCCCTGCCATTCCTTGCACCTCTGCACGATCGCGTCCTCAACCTACCCTGCCCCTGATTGATGCGCCCCTGCGTGTTAAGCAGGCAGAGATGGGATGCAGGATGGGCAGGGACAGATGGACAAGGACATCCCTGCGTGTTAAGCAGGCAGGGATGGGATGCAGGGTGGGCTGGGACAGGTAGACAGGGACATCCCTGCCTGCTTAACTTTCCGCCCTGCTTTACACCGCTACCCTTTCTGTCTATCCCTGCCCGTCATCCCTTGCATCTTACCCTACCATATCCTCCTTATTCCCCACTTTACCCTACCTTCATCCATCCCTTCCAACCCTTATTCCTCATTTCACCTAACATTACCGCTTGCTGACACAACGCATCGTTTGCTTTCCAGGCAATGCCCTACGAAACCTACACCTCCTCCGTCCGCACAGGCGCGCAAGCCCAAGAGTCCGCATCCACGCCTATCTATACGCACCCTGCGAATGGCGGGTACAGTGGGAGCGCGCCGCAGCCGCAGAGGTATGCGTCGCCCAATAACGACTCCGGAGCGGGAGGGTATAGTGGTGGGGGGTACGGGACCCCGCCGAGGGGGTATGGGGGCCAGGGAGGGGGTGGGTATGTGGGTGTGCTGGGGGGGAGTCCCGGGCCTTATGAGAGAACGAATGGTGGGGGCGGGGGTAGCGGGATGGCGATGTAGGTTATGTTGAGGGGGGACTTTGACTTGACTTTGACTTTGACTTTTCATGAGGGGTATGGGGGAAGGGCCCTTTTCACTTGACTTTTTCATTCGACTTTGACGAATACGGACATGGACGTCTTTTCTTTTTCTTTTCTTTTTTTCTTCATTCCATCCTTACCTAACCTTCACCCACCCACCCGCATATGGACCCATCCTCACTACCAGCTTCCGCCTTAAAGACACGCCAGGCTAGGATCACACTGGGCATATGGGGGTTCACGTCTCGCCACGTTCGCTACGTATATCAAGCAGGTTCACGGTCCTTATCCCAGTTATCATGATCCTACGTACACGGTACTTTTCATATCAGCATCACGAAAGGCTTTTACTCTCTCCCTCCTCTTTACTAGCTACACGCATCGCAGCTTCGTTTCGTTCCGGTTTCGTTCGCATCACTGTCGTATATACTGCATCAGATTCTCATACACTGCATCGTTTCCTTTCTCTTTCTTCTCCTTTCTTGTTCTCGCTCTCATTGTTCTCGCTCTCATTGTTCTCGCTTTCATTGTTCTCGCTCTCACTGGCACTTGTCACGAATCATACTAAATAGATTTTTGTCCTCCAGCCTCCTGTCCCTATAGCTATAATAGAAGTATAGTATAAATAAAAATAACAAATTTTTGCCTTATCTTTTGGGGTGATATGATGGTTGGGAAAGGCGTGTGGTGAGGTGGGGTGATTTATTAGTCGGGAGAATGGATATCGATATCGATGACGCAAGACGCATACTTCGGTTAGGTGTGCATTTGAAAATAAATATAAAATAAATTGCGCGTTGAAGCGTTCGTTAACGCTGGTTCAGACAAGAAAAATGAAGTAACAAGTTGCTTATAAGAAAAAGAAAAGAAAAACAAGTGACCAACAGAGTGGTCGAAAAAGAATGATCCGGGCCGGGCTTGAACCGACGACCTTGTGCGGACACTGCGAAGTGTTAAGCACACGTTCCACCAACTGAACTACCGAACCTTGTTATCTATGCTGTTCTATAATTGGTGATATCCCAGACACTACTGGGTGGAGGGTTGGGAGCTTATTGGGAGGGAGGGGATTCAAAAAATCGGAATTGAGTCTGAACGTTGGCTTGAATGACGGAACGAATCGCTAAGGTAGAAGGATAGACGTCTGGAGCTGGTGGGCTTGGATTTGGGCTGGGGTGGGGTTAAATACGGTAGTTGGGTTATGATTCAAGTTTTATACACTATTTTGTTCAGTTATGTTATATTACAGTGGAAGAGGGATTCATAGAAGTGCAGAAGATAGTGATGATTGCGACTGAGTCACCTGCAAAAAATATTCGAATAATTCTATCCCGCAGTAATGTTAAAGTCAATTTCCTAGGTGCTTCTCTGAGTTGAGAAATATTCCGATCCAATTATCTCACTATACTCTCCTTCTTACTTTATCATGGACGGACTTTGTGAGTGATTTCATTGCAAAAATGATCGTGGCCCGGTCCCTGACCTGGTAGAACGGATCTGCCAGGCTGTAACTGGAATATCCAGCCTTCATCACGTCTCAGGGGATTGGGTTTGAAAGTGGGGGACAATGATGGGTTTGGGAGAGTTATTTGCTTTCCCTCGAAAGATAGCAAAATAAATAAATAAATTCTCCAGTCGACCTTTTAGCTCTCCAACCTACTGTGTGCTACTGTAGGTTCGGCAATGGAGTAATCACCACACCAGTGCTATCTACCTGCAAGAAAATGATCTATTCAATTTGTGATGGCCGTTCCTCTAGGAAAAACCGCAGAAAGGTGTCTTCGTCCCATCACGTATAAAATCCCAAGCTGTGTGTAGTCTTCGCCTACCGTGACAGCTCTTCCTTTCTACTATTACTGCCTCTTCCGTCATTACATCTTGATATCCGACGACCGCTGTTGGGATACTTATTAAGGGTAAGCCTCTCAGCATACATAGCTCTATTGACGATGTCTTCTAATGTTCTCTATCCGATTCATTGTGAAGTGTGTAAGGTTTTGGGGTAGATGGATACGTTTTTTGTGTGTAATATTTTCATTGAATAACTTGCTAGCTTATTCATGCTCTAGTGGAAACTTCGATTATATACAGTTGTGATTAGACTCCTAGGCATGTTTGTAACTAGATTGGAATATATTACGCTTGATAATATGCTGTTGGTGTGATTAAAAATAAAAATAAATATCGGATCTGTGCTGTCTGGTTAGCAGAATTTTGAGCTTTTTGTGCTATTCAGCCATCAGGCAATATCGATATGTCGCTCTGCAGATCAAGGCAGAACCCAATCTGTCGTTCAGCCTGAGGCGACCTCGACTTGAAGACCTGATTTGACTATGTTAGGTCATTTCGATTGTTGCGACATCACTTGTAGTAATTAGCGTGCTTAGTTTCCGATTGGCCCGAGCAATGATTATGAGTATCCACTTTTTACTATTCCTCAGAGAACGAGGCATGTGAGGATACAGAAAGTCGAACTACTGTGGCATCCAACGCAACAACTCGTCCTAGACTACACTCAACCCAACCCCTCTAAACAGACTCTCCTCTAAACAACTCGATTAATCATGCATTCCAACTCTTAAAATTATCTTCGCCGCCATCCGCGGGATGTCATTGGCATCTGCTGAACGGCGACCATATCCGAGTACAAGCGAGGGTGTTCTTGACAGCGATTCCGTAACCAATTTCTCCGAAGCCTAACGCTATGAATAACATTTAAGCAAACTATAACAGGAAGTAATCAGGGCGCTCTTACCATTGGCATGTAGGCTCCAAGGAGGAGATTTTCCTTAGCTCAATTCAATTGAAGTGCATGGTTCTGTAGCTCTTAGTGAAAAGAGTCAGCAAAGATGATTATACTTAGTACTAGATAACTTTTCCTTACCTGGACTCGTATACAATGGCCGCTTCAACAGATGCTAATAACGTCGCACAGGCGGCGGTGTAAACGAAATCGAAAGCCGAGGTGAAATGGATGTTTAATTGAGTTGTTTAGAGGAGGATCTGTTTGGAGGTGGGGTTGAGTGCGCTGCGTTGGATGCTATGGATCGACGGCAACTGGACCTTATATAGTTACATATTTCCTTATCGGACGCATATATAGTGTATATCAGTGATTCCTGATTAGTCCGCAGGCGCATTGGCAATTGAATTAAGCAGTGGAGCACGGAATTACCCAATAAAGCGAGTGGTGGTCTTAACCTCAATCTTGACTTTAAGGAGCTGGCATCCCTGACAATATGTCACTCGATGTTTAAAGTTTTTCTTAAGTAGTAACTTTGATGTGTGAACCCTACATCCGTGTCTTGCTTGGTGCGCTCAAAATCCTGTATATAATTATTGCGCAGGGTCAATCAAATACGTAGGCCGTACGCCTGTATGCCAACCTCCAGCTTTATTCCAAATTCACCTTTTCCCGAGCCTGACCCTGATACCGCACTCCTCGTGGGCCTAAACGTAGTAACTATGCATGATTACGAGACAAGCTTATTTATAATTACCTTTATTGCTAGTCCGAAACCGCAGCAAACTCAATGCAACGGCTTGAATTCCACAGACTTCTGTATAGCCGTAAATATTCGCCAGGCATCTTAACTTGCAGTACGCTCGCCGACAATCATCCCGGGCTTTTCTTTTCGTTTAGGTTGAACCTAAATAGAAGCCCGAGGCCGAGTCTGGCCGAGTCTAATTATACTTACTATTATCAAATGAGCCTGAACAGCTTATGTACGAAAGGAGTGACCATCACGATGATGTTCATGAGAAAGTATTTTTATTTATTTATTATTCCTCAGCTTAAGTTCAAGGACCCCAACACAAGCCTGAGATCATTCAATACACGAATATTACACCGATGCATTCTTACGCTATTTTCACTATGTAACCCTGACTACTATCTAACCAGTATGCACAGGCTTTGCGCGCTGGTAAGCGTGCGCATCGACAATTTGAGTCCTACGAGCGAATCGGGGTTCTGTACCGTCTATGGTATAGAGTTGACCCCGAGTCTGACTTTTAGACGTTAAGGTTAACTATCAGTTTCTTGTGAAGAAAACACAGGATTCAAATATTCGGGAGCCTGTGACATATCTATAAGTCCTCTCGCGCGATTGACTTTGACGATATACCACGCCTGTCAGTTGCATCACAACCGACATCTACAGGAATAATCAGGAATCAGGACTCATCCTACAACCCTGGGAAGCCCGGAGAGAAATTTATTACGGGATATGACTAAGTATAACTTTAACCTGTCCACCGTCTTCCAAATCGGGTTCAGTTTTGAGTTTTGAGCATTCCATCAGACTCAGAAATCTCGGATGTCGGGATATCGTCATATCACGATGGCACACATTGTCAGTGGGAACTTGAGGGGGAATTCTGTGCAAAGTGAGCTCGCTTTGTCCTTGGGCCGCTTTTCCGTAGACCATTTGTAATATTCTGAACATGGGAAGGTTGGGGATTAAAGGGAAGCTCGGAGGAAATTTTTCTCATCCTGTGCAAAGTGAGCTCGCCTTGTCCTTAAGCTACTTTCCGTGATGCATTCGGGGGTATTGATTGACAATGGAAGTTGAGCTCGCTTCAGAAATCAGGAATAATTAGTAAGTACTTAAGTTACCGGTACTCTTGGAGTTGCTCTTCCGTGGAATATCGAATCGAAGTTGAGCTCACTTCACGATTAATTAAGCACTTAGATTACCGACACTCTGGAGCCTGGCGTTAAGTAAACCTACAGGAGCCCGAAGCAATGCAGGTAATACTCAATAGAAGTTGAACTTTCTTCATGACAGCCCTTCAACAGGGAGCTACCTACCTTTCCGGTGCAGGATCCACCTGCTATTTCCTTGTTGCGCAACTCGGTAGGGGAGGGAAGGCGTTGGTGAGCTCGGATCTGGAGACACTACCCTTCAGGAGTCTCAACTTTTTGAGATTTTCAAGCTGAACGAGATATATCGTGTGATAAGAAAATGAAGCTGCTAATGCGGTTCCTTAGGCTATGGACACCTTGCCCTTTGAATTAAGGGGAAGTGAGGTGAGGTGACTACTTGGTACATATTCTTATTTCTATTAATATATAGGTCCAGTGATATCAAGGAATCAACCACTTTCGGTGGATAGTATCACCGTCTTTGATGTGAGAACCGTCCGTTATATCCCTTTTGCTGTCTACCATTATCTGGATTAATCTACACAGCTTACATAAATACAAATAAAACCAAATATTTTCAAGGGCGGTTCCATCAAAATAACCATAGCCTATGACATATAAGTAACTCTTACCTCAGCTTCTTTTCGATTTTGGCAGCCGTATTGAGACTTAAACTCGAGCGCTTAATGTATATGCTTGTGAGACAAACTATTCTCATCACATGGCATTGCAATCTTCCCACAATTAATTATACGTTTCGCGCTGCGCTTGACGAATTCCTGCCACATCTTATCAGATGCGTTTCAGCCAGATTTCCAAGATGTTGATAGTAGTACCGCATTGTGTGTCAAATGTTGGTGACCACCATTGATCACGACGTAATGTTATAGAAGATACTTAATCGAACTGCTTGCTATTATCAATCTGCGCATAGAAACAGATGAGTCTGTCAGACGCCCGGTAAGGACTTATCGCCGTAAATACGGGGGATGTTTTTCCCCAATCCAAACTTCAGGAGAAATTTTCGATATCATATTGTTAATATGGGAGCTATTCTTACGTGATGCTTACTTATTTCCTGTTGCAGCATCCAGATTCCTGACTAGTCCTTCGATAAGACAACCTACATCAGAGCTGATATTCACCTGAAGATGAAAAAATAAAATAAAAAAATGGGTATCATGTAGGTATAAAGAAGATCAGAACTTACCATATCAAAACCTTCTTCAGCTCTTCCTCTCGCTTTTTCACCTGAAATACAATAATACGCGCTACGCTACTTTAGTCGATGTCGGATGATGCAAACGTCAATGACTTACACTTTCTTCTGATATTTATGA